AAAACATAATTAATGTGGGAGAGAAAATATGGCGTAAGTTCAATAGTAAAGAAAACAAAGATTAGCGAAGCATTCACAATGGAGGTAGGCTGGTAGTAATAGTAAATGTGGGTAACCACACTGGCTGCTAGCTTAGTCATAAAAAATAAAACAACTTTTCGTTTTTACTTGCATCTCTTATATTATTGCATTTGGCCCGCGGCTCTCAGGTTGATTTAAATTGTGGTCCTCTCAGGGAAAATGTTTGGGCACCTCTGCTCTATGAACAATAGAGTTAATCAAGCCTATTGTTAGGCGATGGCCCTCTTTTGCATGTGACTGACCTCTTTGTCCACCATGTGGAGGCAGTGCTTTTAAGGCTGAGTTTCACCTGAAACTCATCAGACTGAAGAAGTCTCTTGGAGGAGAGACGAAACGTTTCACTAAAGAAGAACCCGTCCAGAGGACCTACTTATTTTTTTCTTTTTGATTTTTTTTTCCTGCCTGGATTACTGAGAAGCATCAGGACATCTTTGTTTAAAACTCTGGCATTGGAATTGGTTGGTCGGAGTCAACCCTGCTTGTCTTTCAGCAAAAAATATTTCCTAAAGCTCTGGGTGAATTTTAATGAAACTTTTCGAAAATAATCACTGGGTATACGTCTGCAAATGTTTAACTGTTGGATTAAAACATGTTGAAGATAGCAGACACAGCTAGTTGTGCGGAAGAGGATTAGGGCCACTGAAAAATAAAAAAAGGAATTCTGACTTTAAAGTCAGAATTCTGACTTTAATCTGACTTTAGAGATTAAAGTCAGATTAAAGTCAGAATTCTGAGAAAAAAAGTCAGAATTCCGACTTTAATCACAGAATTCTGACTTTAAAGTCAGAATTCCTTTTTTTATTTTTCAGTGGCACTAATCCTCTTCCATATAGTTGAAATGTGTCAACACAAAAATGGCTATAACTCACTCAATTTTGGCTAAAGTTTAATGTGGTAGCTTTTTTCTAATGCTGTCTTATTTGTTTCATAGCCTTACATGCGTCTGGTGTCGCTGTGTCAGCTCGAAACATTTCAAAAGCTCACTTTACTTCTGTACAAACCCAACTTGCCAGACCTGATCTTCGGCGGTCTTCGTGTCGAATCGTTTCGCACGGAAAAAGCCGAGCCGTGGCGGACTTGTCCGGAACATCCGGTTGTGGCTTCTCAACATAAACAGAAATGGCGGAGGCAGCAGCGGCGTCTACGGCGGCTTCATCAGTAACAGGAGGTTGGACCAAACACGTAACCTGCCGGTAAAACAAGATAATCTTATGTTAACACGTCAGGGACGAATAAAATATAGTTTAACACAAGAATTACTTGTGTTACGGCGGCTGGCGAGCGATTGATAAGACTGTCTGCTAATGCTAGGCTCAGCTGTTGGTTAGCTAAGCTAAAGCTAGCCGGACGGTGACTGGATTCCTCTGTTGTTGTTAACACAGACAGAGGAAAGTGTTGCCGTCCTGTTAGCTTGGCTTTCAACCTGACCGGCTTGTTTGGAGCTAACTAACTTAGCCAGGTTTGTAGTAAACTCTGACAGAAATTTAAGAGGAAAATAGCAGCTTATACATCACTTTGTACACTTTCACTTTAAAGCCTTATAAACAAAGCAGGTCATAGATGGGTCTAGTACACGTACAAACAGTTCCTGAGTTCATGTAAAGGCTAACATATGATATTTTTTAATGAAAGCAAAGCCATATATTGAAATTATGTGTTAGTATTTAATCCACTTGTAAACGTGAAACTGAAAACTTTGATTTTGCTTCAGATTGTGGCACAAGAAGTACAAACAGTCTGATCAGTTTTGATTTCTGTTGCCTTTCAGATACTTCATGCATGGTCTTTGCAAAGAAGGAGACAACTGTCGATACTCTCATGACCTTTCCAGCAGCAAGCCTGCAGCCATGATATGCAAGTTCTTTCAGAAGGGAAACTGTGTGTTTGGAGACCGTTGCAGGTAAACACACGGCCAGAATCAAAACATATAAACACGTCAGACTCGCTAAGCAGGGGTGGATCAATTAAACTGGGCACAATTTTCCACTTTTTCTTCGTTTGGATTACGGGCCATATAATGTGGCACTATTTTTGGGTGTCAATAATTTTGTTATTGCCTCCCTTGAAGGGTGTGAGTATTAGGCGTAGGCCTGATTTGCAGTGTGTGTGTGTGTGTGTGTGTGTGTGTGTGTGTGTGTGTGTGTGTGTGTG